GCTTGTTTGTTACAAAAGAAAACAGAAGAACTTTGCAGCAGAGTAATCTGGAGGACACTACCTTAATCAAGTGATCAAAATGTACATCACAGGCACTGGAAGAGACATGACAACTAAATATTGATTCTATGATGATTAGCTAATTGATTAGTTGACAACTAATGTATGATTCTGAACTGATCCCTTCTACTTTATATAAAAAGCATTATGAGAACAATTTGTAAAACATGAATGGAGATCAAGGATTGTATGGTAATTATGCAGCAACACATGATTTTGATTGTGCATTGCAGTTAAGCAGAAGAATGTTCTTGTTTGTAAAAAAATACTAAATATTTGGGGGTGATCAGATTGGCAACTTACTTGAAAATGGTCTAGAAAGAGTTATTTGTTAAGAGAAATAGTGGAAAAAAAAAGTTGTTTGTTTATACCTGCATTTTTTCTGTAAATCTGAGATGCTTTCAAAATATTACAAAAGAAAGAAAAAAAAGGGAAGGCAATGAACACCATACTACATAGGTAACTGACTTGCTCTGGGGAGTAGGATAAAAAAGATAGGATAGGATTTTTAAAAGCCTTAAGAAAGATACAACAATTGATCTAAAATTCCTGCCTGCTCCTAAGTTGGGTAGCAAATTCATGTGTCTTCATTTGAATATGTATCATAACTTACATGTATGTTACATTTTATTTTCTCCCTATATAAAATATTATGGTAATTTAAAAAACTTGCATTTTAATGAGCATAGGATTGAGAGCACAATAGACCTAATTTTGAAGACTGTCTGTGCCATTTATTATCCCCATGAACTTGGGCAAGACACTTAGGCTTTCTAAATTTCAGCTCTCTTATCTGGTGTGTGCCTGTAATCCCAGCTACTCAGGAGGCTGAGGCAGGAGAATTGCCTGAACCCAGGAGGTGGAGGTTGCGGTGAGCCGAGATCGCGCCATTGCACTCCAGCCTGGGTAACAAGAGCGAAACTCCGTCTCAAAAAAAAAAAAAAAAAAAACAAAACAAACAAAAAAACAAAACAAAAAACACTAATGAGAACTGTGAAAGGAAATTAAATTAAATTTTGGGACTCTAAACTCATTTAGCCAAAGGGAAAAGTCAAGCTGGAAACTGGGTCAGACAAATCCACCTCCCCCTTTCGGTTCCTAAATAAGATTGCTACAAAATGAAAAGCTCCCTCATATTTTGCCCAAAGGAAATTCCTAGTGAACTGTTAAAATTTCACTATGACAATGTTAATTGACAGCTTATCTTCACAGGTACAGTTACCCTGGCCCACCTGACATAAATGCATATCTGATGGCCGCCTTGCCCCATTTTGTCTGTTTGTCTTATACAAAATGCAGATTCCAGGCATTTTTCCTCTGCCCCATTTGTTTACCTCATCTTATGTAAAAAAAAAGCAGATTCACTGAGCTAAAGGCATGAATAACTATGTTTCCCTACGCTCCTCTTACATGAAAATTGTGTACTTTTCAATTTCCCGCCCTTTCCTCTTTAAATTTGGAGCCCTCAAAATCATCTTCAGAGAAGGGCATAGACTTGTCTCCTAGCACATTCTTAACTTTGGCAAATAAATCTCCTGAAATGATTAACACTTGCCATTTTTCTCAATTGACAGAACTAAGTCTGGAATTGCTTTGAGGATTCAATAGACAATATACATTATCAACACCCTTTACCTGAAGCCCACCAGAACAGCATGAAATTGCCTTGAGGATTCAATAGACAATATACATCATCAACACCCTTTACCTGAAGCCCACCAAAACAGCCCTATTGACAGGTTGGGTTTATTCCTCCTTGCAATTAGTAAGAAACAGAATAGGGAACCAAGGGTTCCCTATCTTAATAAGGTAGCGTTATAAAGAACCTCTTATGGGAAGTGGGTTTTGGTTGGGTGAACTGGCAGAGCATCTAAGGAAGTGAGGGCTTGCTCTAGATTGGAGGTTATCAGAAATTATAGATTTCTGGGTGAATCTATAACTGGATATTTCAATAAATCTTATCCAAATGGAAGACAGACTAGAATGAAGATAGATCTATCTTTATGATAAACAATGGTAAAGTAGCAGGCACTCATTTGGTGATAGGAATGTTTAGAACTTTGTGTTGCAGAGTGACCTTATTATTGTCTGATTTTATTACGTTTCCAGGCTGCCCTTTTATGACATTCTGTGAGATTGTACATGCTGAAGGGCAGAACACAAGAGTCTGGCCATGAACATTAGACTAGCTTGTATTGAGGTCTAAATGTAAATGTCAGATCAGTTCTAGATGTCATGGGCTGTTTTTGTTTGCTTTCAACATGAATATGTGGCATAGTGTTTAGCACCTGGGTATGTTTAGCTTGTTTAATAAGGAGCTGTGCTAACCTCTGCAGATCAAGCAAACATGAGTAGCTGGACCGCCTTACAGCATCTGAACTGGATCTTCACCTCTTTGGCTATGCCTCTGGTAACACTGATGGATTACATACATACAAACAGAAAACAATAAATGCTAAAGTTAAGTTGTTTAGACATAAATAAACTAATCTATGTTAGCATTCGCTCTCTCTCTAAGGAATTATTTTAACAACAAAATGTTTCCTACTTAAGAAAACCATGATTCATAACCTCTGGCCATGAATATCTAAGGGCTGTCAAAGACAGTATTTGGATTTCCTTTAAGTATTAACTAATAATATTTAAAATGAAAAATGTCAGCATTCATTATAGATGAAAATATGGAAAAATAGATTTAAAAACAAGCTTATATAAGAAGGCTTTTATTAGCAATTGAGTTAATGCCCCTCTTCAGATGGGGAAAGTTTATCATGTCAGCTGAAGTGTTTTAAACATGCTTAAATTAGGTTTTCAGTTTTGACGTAATAAGCCACTTTGATATGTATGTAATTTAAGCCAAATTGCACCAACAGAACAACTTACAGGCTTCCTAGATTAATCTGCATGACTCACAACAGAAGGCACTTAGGAACACCTGGCCCTGGGCACATGGGAGTGACTGGGAAGTCAGCAGGTAACTTGGGGTATTGGTTTCCTACTCATTTAGCTCCAGAGAGATCTAGCTTAAACTTGAATAAGCTTATTAATGTTCATCTAGTGCTTAAAATGATAAAATAAAGGATTTACTAATACCTCAGGATCCAAATAAAGTTGCCACTAATGATCCTAATTTATCCTGGCTGCATTTTAAAGAAGGGGAATAATAAATTATGGCCAATTGAGTTAAAATTATATAACAAATTTTTAGTACTCAACAATACCCACACTAGAGTGCTCACTATATGCTAGGAGCTATTCTAAGTGCTTCTTCACAAAGTGACTTATTTATTCACATAATGCGGCAAGGACTCCCATCATCCTCATTTCAAGATGAGAAACTGAGGCACTAACCAAATCACAGCTAGTAAGTGTCAGGGCATTTTCAAACCCATGTGGTCTGGCACTAGAGTCTACGCTTTCAAACCACTATGCTCTACTGCCCCTCTGAGATGCCACCATTCCTATTTTTGTGACTCTAGACCCTGATTTTCCACCCATCATGATGATGTAAAAATGTATGCTGAGGAACAAGAGATCATAGAAGGCACTGCATGTTTGGATTCTTTAACAATTATTGTATGTACAGTTGTGCCCTCCTTTTTGATCATGATGCCTATTTCTGTCTGTTCCTCACTTTTTAATTAGTGATTTTAGTAACAGATTTAGGTTTATTATTTTTTAAAAATTTTCTGTCATTGCCTGTTTTCTATTTCCTTCTACTGGCTTTATTTCATTATTCTCTTATCTAGCTCTCTAACTTAAACAGATTTGTTTACTTGACTTCTCAATGTGTTTTTTTCCTTTCTTCTTCTTCTTTAACACAGGAGCTCACTTTTTCTTCCAGGCTGGAGTGCAGTGGCATGATCATGGCTCACTGCATCCTTGCTCAACATCCTGGGCTCAAATGACCCTCCCACTCAGCCTCCCAAGTAGCTGGGACAACCTTACACACCTGGCTGATTTCTGTACTTTTTGTAGAGACCAGGTTTTGCCACATTGTCTAGGCTAGTCTTGACTCCTGGACTCAAGTGATCTGCCCTCCTTGGCCTCACAAAATGCGGGGATTACAGGTGTGAGCCACCATGCCCAGCCCCAGTATGTCTTGAACTCAAAATCTCCCACCGATCATGGATTCTTATTCTCCTTGATTCCTCTTACAACCACTCATGTTAAGTTTTTGTGCCTACCACTCAACAAAAACTGCTCCTCAGTCCCCATGACCTGAATGTTGTCAAATCCTATGGATACTTCTCAGTTCTTCTCCTACTTGACCTACCAATAGTAACAGACCCGGTTGCCCCTTAAGGTTCTTCTTGAAACACTATATTGTTCTGTACTGTTTCATATTCTTGAGTTTCCTAACTGTCCATTTGTCTCAGTCTCAGCTGCTACTTCCTCCTCTTCCCAATTTCTCAACCAAAATCCTCCTGCAGCATTCATTTTAACACCCCCTTCAGTATACAACAGAAATATAAACATGTAATAACGGGTGATAATCATGTTCTTGATTCATTTGTGTTTAAAACAACTAAAAACAAAGAGTTTTAAGCTTTTATTTAAATTAAGAATATTTTATATTTGAACTAAATTTTGAACTTTCTAAATGAAAGTTTATGACTTGACGTTCACACTGCTGTACTGCTTTAAAACTTAAAAGCAAATAAATTTTGTCAACTAAAATCAAAGTCACCAATATCTGGTCTGCCTGTCTCTACAATGGCCGCACTGTCACCACATCCATCATTCACGGTCAGTGACCCTTAGAACAGTGCTTACACAAGATTTCTTTCAAATATGGCACTGTGGAGATGGCCACAGGAGGTTCTACAAAAAACAAGTGCTCGATTTACCACTCAACATGTTCAGCTTGAAATGACTGCTACCTTTGCCTTCACTTCCTTCACATACACCCGGGTATACAAATATCTTTTATATCAAGAGTCCTTGTGGAAGTAAATAGAGGGAACTCCCAGGAATAAAGGAAGGCAAAAAACAGGAGGCACCTGAAGCCAAAACCTGGAGCAAATTTTAAGAAGGAAGAGATGTCCCATTTTCACATCTCTGCATGGATCTCCCATGGAGAACTTGAGTTAAATGTAATGATTACACGTGGCAGAAAGATGACTCTCTAGCAGTTTTTCCTTCACACAGGCTGCTAGATTCATTCCACAAGCTCAAAGATTTTAATAAAAAACATTTCTGCTAAATACTTTATATTCATCATCATAAAAAATGCACAGCCATTAAAAAAGGGTCAAGTACCCTAAATGAGAATTGGCAAAGCACAGATCAACTTTACAGATAATTTCCTTCCTTGTTTCTGATAAATCACAAACAGAAATGGAAAACTTTATTTAACAAGTATTTATTTTGGCCAGGCATGGGGTTTACATTTTAGTGTGTGTGCATGGAGGCCGGGAGAAGTGACTAGTATCATGACTAGAAGAACTAGGAGTGACTAGAAGATCTAGTATCATGACCCCAGCTACTGTAAGAGGACTGAGAAATGGGAAGAGCTCATAGCATGAGCGACCAATAACTGTCACTGATGTCCAGGAAAGCCTTCTCTGACACAGGGAAATCTTAAGCCAAGACAAAGTGAAGGAAGAAGCTACACAGAGTTGGAGACATTATGTTGTCATTTACAACTCCAAGAAATATTATCTGCCATCTGTTTCCAGTAAACAGCCACACCAAATCTTTAATTTAGATATTCTGATACAAATAACTAAATGCATTAAAAATACGTTTCTTTCTATTTCTACACTTAGTTCAAGTAATATCTTAGCTCAATTACTTTAAGTCTTACGTACCATATAGTATCACTGCTCTTACCTTACATCCTTCAAAAATGATCACCTCCTGAATAAAATCATAATTCAAGGGCTGACAAACTTATTATTGACACACATCTTGACTCCTCATTCATTACTTTTCCATATGTTATTAGTTTCTCATTACCTACCTAAAACTTAGTATTATAGATAATGAAAAGGGTTCTGAACATTACATTAAGAAATTCTAGAATATGTTATAGAGAAAAAAGATTGAATAAAAAAGTTCCTTAAAAGGTTACTATTACTTGCAAACATAGCTCTTTGAAAGACAGATTCCTATAAACATTTATACACATTAAGATATTATTCTAACACATACTGGCAAGATAGACACTCTGCATATGTCTTCATTTTAGGAAGAAATGAAGCAAGGCTATTTTTAATAATAGACTTAGAAACAATTGATAACTTGTAGTATTTGCGGGTTAATGCAAATACTAGGCAGCACATCACAGCAGAGTGTAACTAAAGCCTAAAATAGTGTTTCATCCTCCACAGCTACCTCTGTGCACTCACACAGGTGACTTTATTTTGCTTTGCATTAGTTGATTCTCTAATACAGTCATCTGATTCGCCCCACCTAGTTGTTTCAAGTAATCAGTGTGAGAAAGTCTACTTATTGTTAGGCATATTTGTATATATTTCACTAGTAATTTTACACTTGCTCTGACACACTACACATTAAAAAGCTTGAAATTAGACAATGTCAATCTCATCAGCCAAAACCAGGACTGGATGTGAATATTAATACCTGAATGAAATTACAAAATATACGTCTCCAATCTCATAAAACATGAACTTTATAAGCACTTTCATAAACATTATGAGCGAAATAGCTTTGACAATAACTGTTTGAAAAAATTAATAATCTTTTATACTGTACATGTGCACTCAAATGCAATAATCCCAAAGTTCATTATATTATGAAGGGGATACTTTGTAAGAATTATATATTATTTTTACATTATTAAATAATTTTGGCAGAGTAAGTCCATAGGACTTAAATGTCCAGTCAGCCCTAGTATCTACATCTGGATCAGGAAGCCTTTGTGTGTACAGATAGACTCCCTGTGAAGTTCTCCAGGGTATAAAGAAGGTCCCAGGGAGATGCCCACTGGGGGTGAGGGCCTGCCTCTCAGCTCAGGGGAGCCTGCAAGCAACAGGGCAGTATGGGGAGGATCACAGGCACAGGAAGGGAGCAGCTGGCAGCTGTAACATCAAACCAGGATGGTTTCTTCTTTTTAAAGAAAATTTTGCGGAGTGTTTACCTACCCCCATCCATACACATATGCTCTCTAGGAAATGTGAAAGTATAAGCTTCAGAAAAATGGTTTTCTCATCCTTTAATTTCTGGTTTTATGATCAAATTCTGAAGACATGGCTACTTTTTGATCAAAATAGTTGACATTTTCATTGCTTCTAGTTTTTCAGCTCCTCCTATGCTTACTGTGTTCGTGTCACTGACGTCTTTGGCTATTTATCATCTCTAGAAAAGAAAAAAAAATTAAAATTTTAGGATGTAGGATTCACAATAAATCTCTTACCAAATTCTCCTTAAATCTCTAAACTCTCTACCTGGCTCAAACTCCAAGATCACCCCTTCAGTTCTTTCCAGTGTTTTTCTTTGGAAAATTTCATTTCCTAACTTTTCTACCAAACCTTCTCATCTACTCTTAGGTCTGCAGCCACTGTGATAGTGCTAACTTGCAAACTATCAGGTCCTTCCTGCAGTCTTTCAAAAATCTTCCTACTTCCCCCAGAGTGAAGCCTAAACTATTTAACAGGCATCTAAGGACTTTCAGGACCTGTATCCTATTAACATGTTAATTTATCTTTGCGTTTAACTCCCTCCCCTCATCTCTCAAGGCACAGTGCAGGACTTATCCCGAAAGTACTAAGCCTGGATACATCTTTAGGAAAAACACATGTATACACACACACACACACAGACACACGCAAAAAGAGGAAGCATAGCTTAGTGGTTACGCTACATAAACTACAACTTGCCTAAATAACCCAGTATTTATGTTTTAATAAAATTAATTGCTTTAATAAAAATACATGAAATTGATCTATCTTCTCTGAAATGCCTTTGGCTAAATTCATCTATCTTTTCTCTGGAATGCCTTTGGTTGTTCAAACATTATACAATGTTCCCATGTGTTACAGAGGAAGATGTCCCTTCATTTATAAAAGACAGGTAAGATATAGCGTAAAAATTTTAGAGTAGGATAAATCTGCAGCTACTCTACTGGAGATATGCTAAATTAGCGTTCTGATTGGAGTTAACTTCCGTTACCTTGAGTGAGAGAGAGAAAATACTTACCATTAATCTAGGGATAACAGAGAAGTTAAACTCCAATTCAGAAATACAGCAGTTCAAAGTCAGAATCTAGAGTCAGATTACATGGGCTCGATCTAGGAATGTCCCCTTTATTAGACGTGTAACCTTGGGCATCTGCTTGACTGCGCTGATCGTAGATTCCTCATGGAATGAATATAATAAGACCTGATAAATGCAATCAGACAATGCCTGAAACAGTAGTCCTAATTGGGTATTTTTGTTGTCCCATTTTTTGAGGAACAAAATCAAAGGCAATTCAATGAAAAGTGCAGGTTTCTTGATATCATCCTAATACTTAGCAAATTAATCATAGAACCCAAGTGAAATTGCCTATACTCTCAAAAAGTTCGAAAAACATGTCTAATACACTCAACATTGTCTTAGTTGATGCTCGCAGATTATCAAAAGTAAGCACATTCATACAGTTTTCATCCTCACACTATCTAAATCTGAGGAAGTGTCGGGAAAGATATGTAAGGAAAGATCTAAGCTGAAAATCAAACCACACTTGAGGCTTTTAAACTGTGACCAAATAGTAATTAAAATTAAGTTTATGCTTCTCTGTCCACCTAAGGGCAAATTAAACCTTAAAGAAAGCAAAGCATAAAATCAGTTTGCCCACACATTAAAAAATAAAATAACTGAATGTATCTTCTTCAACTCTCCACTTCTAGAGATGAGAACTGCACTGGCAAACAGAAGGCATTCAACACAGCATCTGTTAAAATGAGTAACTCCCAAAAAGTACTATGTAAAAAGCTATATAGTTGTTATAATCCAGTACTGCGGAAAGGTGGTGTTGAAACCTTACTGCAGGTAACCTGTGCGTCATTTTCCAGGAGCCACACACATCCCGAGGGCTTCCGAGGTCAGCCCCCTCAACCCCGCGACAAACCCACATCCCGGCACCACCTTCCCACGACTCCCAGCGGAGGCCCCGGCCTCGGCAGGCCCACGGGCGGCGCGGCAGCAGCGGCGGGCAGGGCTCAGGGCTGCGTCCCGCCTGGTGGGCGCTCGAAAAGTCCCAGGGTCCCCGGAGCGTGCCCCTCGCCGGCACTCCCCCCGTTCTCCACGTCCCCGTGTGCAGTTTCCCAGGGCCTAGAAACCGTCTAGAGCCAAAGGCGAGGCAGGCGGAAAAGGGCCTCACACCGTCCAGGGGCCTCCACCCGGGAGAGGCTGACGCGGCGCCCAGACACACGCTCCCGGGGTCCCCCCGGCCGAGCCCGCAGCCAGCCCCCGCGGCGCCCCTCGGAGCCTGAGGGGTGTGGGAAACACGCGAGCAAGCCGGCTGCCCTTCCCGCCTCTGGCCGCGTCCCCATCAGGCCAGTGCTAGGCGGGCGGTTGAAACCCGGGGATCACTACCGACAGAGCGCTCACCAGGGAGGCCCGGGCCAGGTATGCCCATGGACAGCGCTACCTGCTCCCATCACGCACTCGCCCGCGCGCCCAAAGTGCGCACGCGCGGCACCCGGAACCAGTAGGAATCTAGGTTCGAGGGTAACTGGGGCCAATCACAGCGTGCCTGGTGTGTGGGCGGTGTCTCCCCGTGTTGCGCGTGCGCAGAGCTGCTGCGCACTGGAGTCCTTGGCTTTTCCGCGGCCACGGGAGGTGAAGGGAAGCGTCAGTCGCTAGCCTCCCTGAGCCGGCTCGGCCAGCGCGGGTGCTCAGGAACTTCTGTCCCGTGGGATCTGAGGTTCTTTCACATCTAAGTGGGCCGTGTCTCCAGCTTCCCTCCTTTCTGTCCTACTGAGGTGTCCCTGCGTCGCCCACAAGGCATTTAGGTCTGGGCAGGCCGCCTCTGCCCCCATCACGATCCTTTTATTTTCCTGTTTCATTCTTTCTCTCACTTTCCTATTTGCTAAACCAAACGTTTTCCTTCCATAGGCATGACCCCTTTGAAGGCTACCCATGCCTCGACATATCTGACATTTGACGTTTTACCCAAAAAATTGACTATTTTCTAAAGCTAGTTTGATCCTATCCAACACAGTTTTTTCAGCAAGGGTGTAAGTCTGCAGGCTCTAGACATGCGTGGTCTGAGTTTGAACCCATCTGCTACTAACTTGTATTGCTTTGGAAGACTATCTAACCCAGGGCTTCAGTTCTCATAATATATCAACTGAAACTTTGTAGGCTCACTGTAAGCCTTAAGTTGAAACATGGAGCGTATCAGAATTGTGCCTGGCACGTGGTAAATGTTCAAAAGTTAGTATTGTTATTAGGTGCTGGGCACCTTTTCTAGGCCTTGGAATTAGGGTTCAAAGTCCCTGATGTCCTGGATGTTTATAATCTATTGTGAACATTTTGCTATTCTTTTGGAAACAGATCTTTATTTTCATAAACACTGATAATTTTCATTGTGTGAAGTGTGATCTCAAATGATACTTTTCTAGTATTTCATTATTATATTTGATTCTTTTTAAAAATTGGGTACTGTTGAGGAAAAGTGACAATGAAATTATTTTGTTAACATGGTTAGCAAAATTCATCTGGGGTTGCCACACTGGGGCGCTGGCAGCTTTATGAATCATGTTCAAAAGTCACTCTTGTGTTCATGGTTCTTTTCACTACAACCACCATTATTCAGGGTGAGGTTTTTCACACCTATTATAAAAGTTTATCTGCAGAAAATGGTAATGAGCTTGTTCTGGTTGGCATCCTGTTGTTTTCCCAAGTACATACTTGGAAGAGAGTGAACAAGAGATTTAAACATGGGTGAATAGATGTTTTGCAATGGGCTAAAAAAAAACACTTACTTTACTAGAACAGTTGCTTTATATTCTGCAGCAATTTTGCAGAGTTTTGAAGTGGAAGAAAAAGATAGTGATGGAATGCTGCTAAAAGAAATACTAGAGAATAACATCTTTGGTGCTTGTTAATCTCTTTTTTTTTAAGCTGTCAATTACATGTTTGGTGACTGCTTTGAAAGTTCGGATTCTGTTGCCTGTGGATCCACAAAGTAGCTTAGGAAGCCTGATGGCAGAATACAAAAATTGTCTTAAAAGGATTCATAGATACTCACAATCTTTGTATTGAAGAGTATGATGAAACTCCCCAAGTCCAGTTAGGGCAGCGCTGGGAATACAAGGTGAGAATGGAAGAATTTACCACGAAAAATATTGTGTGTGTATTCGTCCATTCTTGTATTGCTATAAAGAAATACCTGAGACTGGGTAGTTTATAAAGAAAAGAAGTTTAATTGGCTCACAGTTCTACAGGTTGTGCAGGCATGGTGCTGTCATCTAACTGCTAGGTTCCTGTGGGAGGCCTCGGGGAGCTTTTATTCATGATGGAAGGCCAATCAGGAGCAAGAGAGAAAAGTGTTGGGGAGGTGCCATAATTTATCACAACCATATCTTGCAGGAACTCAGTATCAGGAAGTCAGCATCAAGCCATGAGAAATCTACCTCCATGTCCCAGACACTTCCCACTGGGCTCCAGCCTCCAACATTAAGGATTGCAATTCAGCATTGAGATTTGGTGGGCCATATATTCAAAACATGTCAGTGTCATTTTATGAAATATTCTGGGCTAAAAAAGTGGATCCACAAGCAACTTTTAAAAAGAAGATAATTAACATCTCAGTTGACAGTTTCTAACATGAATCCTAAATAGGCCAAGTGTGCAGCATACTTGCGGTTTTGGATCAGACACTACATGTGATCTCTCTTTTTCTTAGTTCTAACCAAGAAATAGATACTAAGTCTTAGAAAGTTTTAAATACTTTGGACACAATAACATTTTTTTAACAAAGCCCTAGAGCAACATGTTAGTGGACTTTCTGAGCAAAGAAAGTCAAGTGATAAAGAAAACTGACTCCTTCAAAATCCATTTTGAATGTAACAGCAGAAAGTTGTTTTCCCCCTTGTAAATTAGAGGCATATGTCAGAGATATTGGGGGTTCAGTTCCAGACCACCTCACTAAAGTGAATATCACAGTAATGCATGTCAGATGAAGTTCTAGACAGCATCTCATTCCACATAAGGCTATTTTGTCTACACTGAAAATCTGTTGTGTAGTGTAGCCACCTTTATAAATGATCTTAACTTGATCTTCTGGCTAACTTGTGGCAGTGTCTACATTAATACTTACTGCTTTACCTTGTACTTTTATGGATGGAGAAAACTTCTTTCCTTAAACCTCACGAGCCAATGTTTTCCAGCTTTAAACTTCTCTTCTGCAGCTTTCTTATGTCTCTCAGTCGTCATAGAAAAGGAGATAATTAGGGCTTCTTTCTGGATTAGACATAAGCTTAAGGGAATGATATGTCTGGTTTGAATCTTCTATCCAGACTACTAAAACTTCCCCCCGGTGAGCAAAAAAACTGTTTCACCTTCTTTATTTTATCCCTTTATTCACTGAGGTAGCACTTTTGATTTTTTTTCAAGAACTTTTCCATTGCATTCGCAACTTGGCTAACCATTTGGCACAAGAGGCCTAGCTTTCAACCTGTCTCAGCTTTTGACATGCCTTCCTTGCGGAGCTTAATCATTTCAAGCTTTTGTTTTAAAGTGAGAGACTTGCAAGTCTCTCTTTCACTTGAACATCTAGGGGCCTCTATAGGGTTATTAATTGTCCTAATTTTAACATTATGTCTCAGGGAACAGGGAGACTTAAGGGGAGGGAGAGAGATGTGGAACAGCTGGTTGGTGGTGCAGTCAGAACACACACATTTACCAATTCAGTTTAGTCTTACGTGGATGTGGCTCTTGGTGCCCCCAAACAATTGTAATAGTAACATAAAAGATCACTTGCCACATATCACCATAACAGATATAATAATAAGAAAACACTTGAAATATTGTGAGAATTACGAAATTTGACACAGATACATGAAGTGTGCACATGCTCTTGGAAAAATGACACTGATAGACTTGCTCAACACAAGGCTGCCACAACCCTTCAATTTATATATATATATGACAGTATCTGCGAAGCACAGTAAAGCAAAGTTTACAATAAAACAAAGTATGACTAAATAAACTTTTACTCCCTCAGGTTTTACAATTAATCAAACCACTTGGGAAAGTCAATTACTTGGCCTGAAAACCTGCATTTTGTTTAGAAAACTAAAAAAAACGCTATTCCCTCATATTTATTCTTTTTATGTGCAATACTGTTAAACTCTTAATTCATGTTCACTGATCAAATATAATCTGTCTGACTTATGCTAAACATATTCAGGTCTTATTTTCTTCACTAGTGTCAAGATGAGCTGGTTATAACTTAGACTAGAATAATTAAGGTTTGAAATTTTGATGTTTCAGAGTCCAGGAATCCTTTACGCTCAGCAATATTCTTTCTTTTCCATAATGATCTAAAAAAGAAGTCGTGTCGTAAAGCATTTGAATTATAAGAAAATGGTTAGAGAAATTTAACCATTTTATGGAAAGGGAAGTAGGAAGTTTCCAGAAGAGCAGGATCTTTACTGACCTAATGAAAGAGTTGCAATATAATTTTAGGGAAAATATTGATAAGGATAACTACAATAATAAATGTTAAAATATCTCTTGAAAGACCGTAATGTCCAAATGTCACTTTGAACATTTTCTTAAGAGGATTACTTTATTATTTTATATTAAATCAAGTCTACTTAAACATGTCAGATGGCTGGATCTCAGTTAAAGGAAATATATAGTGAGGATAAATAAAGAAAAATAGATCATATTATTTTGGGGATGAATATTTATAACCATTGAATTATGCAGAAAATTATTTAAACTAGCAACAAAAGATTCTTATATATAAATGTAAAATTTTGGGGGAACATGAAAGTACAAATAAGTAAGAAGGAACTTAATGTAGATAAGCCTTTCTTAGAGGTGGTGAGGGAAACTGACAAGGGACACTCTGATGTTAAGTCATATAAAGTATGCGAGTTTTATTTGGTCAGCTATAAATTCTTAATTGTCAGGTTGAGAGACAGAACAGGAATGGCAAGAAAGGCAGGAATACGGGATCATAGGTAGTAAAGGCTCTAAAGTTGGAAAAATTGAGCCTGAGTCCTTTCATCATCAGATAATTCTATCAAGAAGGAACAAGAAAAAGGAAAGACACTGCTATTATTTACTCACTTAATACCCATCCATGTCAGGCCATTTATCAAGTATTTTAATTGCATGCCAACCACGTGACTTGGGACAAGTTAATTCTCAAGCCACAGTTTTCTTGGAGATGATACTAGTAGAATTGTGTGAGAATTAAGCTATTCAATACATGTAAAACACAAACATGATAGCACAAAGAAAGTAAATATACTATAACTATTCTAAAAATTATGTCTGATTTTGTCACACTATGCTGGTGCCTCACTTTACCTCTGGGGTCTGTTTATTCAGTAAAACTCAGGGAGAGGGAGATTAGGTTAGCTGATGTCTAAGATTATTCATAAAGTGTTCTGGTTCTTTTGTTTTAGAGAGTGAACAGGCAAAGAGAATAAAACAGACTGAATGGGAAAGAGACTTGATAGATTCTAATTATTTTAAAGTACCCAGTTGAGTAGGCTGTCTACTTGGAGGCTAAGCTTTAAAGCATTTTTTCTTCACTTTAAATCAGGTATTTAGTTGATAATTCTTTTCAGATCTGTGCTATTGAAAATGATGTTGTTGACCTTTAGTCTAAGAGATTTGTAGACATAGCTTATCTGATTAGAAGGTTCATGAACCTTCAGAAAGTGTAAAGTATGTACCATG